AAGAGATTAAGAAGTATAAGTCACAATACAGCACAAGGATGGCAGCAGAGTGAAGCCATCACCTGAGAGTTCAAGTTCACCTGAGAGCAGTGTCCCCCACGCTCACCGCTCTATGACGGGCACAGTGGGGGCACAGGCAGATGGGCACAGTGGGGGCAGAGACGGGCACAGTGGGGGACGGGCCTGAGACGCAGCTCCTTGCATCCTCACCTGAGAGCAGTGTCCCCCACGCTCACTGCTCTGTGACGCGTTGGGTGATGAGGCGGGCACAGTGGGGGAACAGGAGGATGGGCACAGATGGGCACAGTGGGGGACGGGCCTGAGACATAGTCCTACGCATCCTCACCTGAAAGCAGTGTCCCCCACACTCACTGCTCTGTGACGGATACGGTAGGGGCACAGGTGGGCATGGTGGGGGCACAGGCAGGCACAGTAGGGGCACAGATGGGCACAGGGGGGGACAGGCCTGAGACGCAGCTCCTTGTATCCTCACCTGAGAGCAGTGTCCCCCACGCTCACTGCTCTGTGACGCGCTGGGTGATGAGGCAGGCACAGTGGGGGACAGGCACAGTGGGGGAACAGGAGGATGGGCACAGATGGGCACAGTGGGGGACGGGCCTGAGACATAGTCCTACGCATCCTCACCTGAAAGCAGTGTTCCCCACACTCACCGCTCTGTGACGGATACGGTGGGGGCACAGGTGGACATGGTAGGTGCACAGGTGGGCATGGTGGGGGCACAGGCAGGCACAGTAGGGGCACAGGCGGGCACGGGGGGGAACGGGCCTGAGACGCAGCTCCTTGCATCCTCACCTGAAAGCAGTGTCCCCCACGCTCACCGCTCTGTGACGGGTACGGTGGGGGCACAGGTGGGCATGGTAGGTGCACAGGTGGGCATGGTGGGGGCACAGGCAGGCACAAGGGGGACAGGCACAGTGGGGGTACAGGCGGGCACAGTGGGGGACGGGTCTGAGATGCAGCCCCACACATCCTCACCTGAGGACCCTGCTCGGTGGCGCTCCAGAGCTGGGATGTGCTCATGTCTCCCACCCAGACAACGCAATGCAGCTGGGACTAAGTGCTCACCTGGCCCGTGCCTGTGATTTGAGTATGGAGCAAAACCACACAGACTCTTCCTCCTCGGTGTCCTAGAGGCAGATGAGTTCTTAGCAGGGCCACAGGGCCCTCTGCGCCTGTCTTGTCTTTCTGTATGCAGAACCAAGCGTGTTCTGACTCGAGGCTCACTTTGACACGTGTGTGTAGGCAGCACACTGTGCCTCTACCTGGGGCCTGGTGAAATACCATGCCGGTCACTTGGACTGAGGGCAGTGACAGCTCAGCAGCTGGCCACCCGCCTCGAAACCAAGAGACCCATGAAGTGAGTGCAGGTAGGGGTCTACACACCGGAGTGAGGAGCGGCGTGATGGGTCCCGAATCCCTGTTTGCAGGCACCTGCGCCGCGGCTGGGCCCTCTGCTGGGTGAGGGCCTCTTGCTTCCTCTGTGCACCAAGCAGGGAAGGCCCTGGAGCTTTTGGTGTGGAGTGCCATGCTGGGCACCCTGATAGCACCCGGTGTCAACCCAGAAACCACCCCAACCACAGCTCCGCAGGCCGCAGGAAGCGCCTGACCCTCCAAGGGCGTGGGAAGCCGAAGGGAAGCCTGGGCTGTCTGTTTTGCGGGGCTTTTTCGGATGGAGGTGTTTGGGTGCAAGGGGTGCCTTGTGGAAAGTACAGATCTTTACGGTGATGAGATACCACGTCCACAGCAGCCAGGCCTACCTGGTTTCTGCAGTAGACCTGTCATCGAGCCCAAGGTAAGTTCTGGGCAAAGAGTTAGCCCTGCAGGTATAGTTTATTAGTAACAAAGACCAGGTGCCTGAAACCAGGCCTGATGGGATCATTAGCAATGCAGGGCGGACGACCTATGGGAGGGAGGGAATATGAAGGGGGAGGGCCCGCAGGATAAGGGGTGGGAGGGGAAGGGGTCCACAGGTGAGAGGTGGGAAGCAGAGGGGTCCACAGGTGAGGGGTTGGAGGGGGAGGGGTCCACAGGTGAGAGCCTGGAGGGGGAGGGGCCAGCAGAGTGGGAGGGTGAAGGGCCACAGAGTGGCAGACTGCCAGAGTCCCTGTGTGCTCTTGGCCATCTTCTGTCCACTCCTGGGAAGAGATGCACCCATCCATGGTACCCGAGCACAGGGGAGGAGACACGGCCTGTGGGAGAGACACGGCCTGTGGGAGAGACACGGCCTGCGGGAGAGACACGGCCTGCGGGAGAGACACGGCCTGCGGGAGAGACACGGCCTGTGGGAGAGACATGGCCTGTTGGAGAGACATGCCTCTGGAGGAGAGACACGACTGCTGAGCCAGGATCACGATCAATCTGGAGAGAGAGAGCAGACCAAGGGGTGACGACAGAGAACAGTGTGTTCCCCTCGCTCAGGTCCACTGTGCTGGTCGCTGAGTAGCACCTCAGGGCTGATGCCCTTAGCCCAAGCCTAGCAGGTGTCTCTCCCAAGGGCTCTGGAACCTTCTGGGCAGTGCTCACAGTAGGATGTGTATTAAGGGGGTTGAGGGGCAAGGACCAGAGGACTCTGTGGGGAAGGGAGGAACTGTTCAGGCAGAAAGGGCCGATTCTGAGGAGTGAAAACCCCTGGGGTGCACGGGAGTGTGGGGATCCGGAATGACTCCCCTAGATGCTGGGGTAGCACTGGTCACGGCGCAGGGGAAGGCTGGTACCAGGTCACAGCAAGGAAAGGAGGGCTAGCTCCCAGACCAGGGGTTCCGGGAGGACCCTGCATGGTGGTGCAGAGCTAGGGTGCTGTCCACAGCATGGAGGGCAGAGGGGAGCAGTTGCATGCCAGGGACCTGGGCTGTGGAAGATTCCTAGACACCCACAGAGAGGAGCCGGGTCACATCCCAGTCTGCCAGGAAGACCCGGGTGGGTTTGCAAATGTCACTGCTGGTCTATAGGGGGAGATTGGCCCTGAGTTACACAGACTGGGGAGGAGTAGGGAGGTGTGGGACAGGGGTGAGGCCCTGAGTACACAGCCCAGGAAGGAGTGGGGAGGCACGGGCCCCCAGGCAGGGGTGAGGCTCCAGAAGAGCATCTGTGTGAACCTTTTCCAGGACCAGGGCGCTGCTCTCACTGGGGCTTCATTATATGTGGAAGATTGATTGCTCTAAATTTTTTATAGCTTTAAAAGAGGCAGTCATTAAAAATGCAAGTGGAAGAGCAAGCCCCCATCCTGGGTCACACCAACTAGAGCTTAGCGCTGGGGGAGGCGTCCCCCTTCCCAGGCATTCCAGGAAGGCCCCTGCCCTTGTCACAGAGTGTGGTGGGCCTGGTGGACAGGTGGCTCTTACAGGGGACGGGCGGTCTGCTCTGATGCCAGCCCGTGTGGGGCTGACATTGCCAGTCAATGCCAAGAGTTCGCCATCCTTCGGCACACAGCCAGCGCTTCGAATCCTGCATCCACTAAAGGTTAGGTTTGCCTTGCACTAATTAAAACCATTTGTATCAAGTGACTGGAGTAACTTTCTTTTTGAAAATAAAGGAAATAACCAAAAGAAGTTGTTAGGAAAGAAATAGGTCTGAGTTAATGCCATCAACCAGGCTGCACACTGCACTATTAATTTTATTGCATCTGGATGTGAGAGTAAATCAGCTCGATGAGGACTGCACTCATGTAGATGAGCCTGCAAAAGGCAGAGTTGGCTCACACGATCTCTTGGAGAGAGGCCGACGAGGGCTGGAGTGCCCGGCCGTCAGGGGCCGCCCGGCCTCCTTGATCGTCTTGGTTCCATTGCATGGGGCTGAGAGCAGCTCTGCTTTCTGAGGGCATCCGTGCACCCACCTCCCGCAAGCGGCTTAGCCTGCGACAGATTTCCCGCAAGTCACGGTGGCCCACGGGTACGACGGCCAGGCTGGGAGCAGGACACAGAAGGGGCCCCAGGCCATCTGTCCTGTTGTCGGAGGCTGCGATGCAGTCATTAGCTTAGCCCTGTCTGGGGTGGAGTCCAGCTTGGGATGGTGGGCCTGCCTGGGGTGGTGGGCCTGCCTGGGGTGGTGGGCCTGCCAGGGGTGGTGGGCCTGCCAGGGGTGGTGGGCTTGCCAGGGGTGGGGGGCCTGCCTGGAGTGGTGGGCCTGCCAGGGGTGGTGGGCCTGCCAGGGCTGGAGGGCCTGTCTGGGGTGGTGGGCTTGCCAGGGCTGGGGGCCTGCCAGGGCTGGTGGGCCTGCCAGGGCTGGTGGGCCTGTCTGGGGTGGTGGGCCTGCCAGGGTTGGGGGCCTGCCAGGGGTGGTGGGCCTGCCTGGGGTGGTGGGCCTGCCTGGGCTGGAGGGCCTGCCAGGGCTGGTGGGCCTGCCTGGGGTGGTGGGCCTACCAGGGCTGGAGGGCCTGTCTGGGGTGGTGGGCTTGCCAGGGCTGGGGACCTGCCAGGGCTGGTGGGCCTGCCTGGGGTGGTGGGCCTGCCTGGGGTGGTGGGCCTGCCTGGGGTGGTGGGTCTGGGGTGGTGGGCCTGCCTGGGGTGGTGGGCCTGCCAGGGCTGGTAGGCCTGCCAGGGCTGGTGGGCCTGTCTGGGGTGGTGGGCCTGCCTGGGCTGGTGGGCCTGGGGTGGTGGGCCTGCCAGGGGTGATGGGCCTGCCTGGGGTGGTGGACCTGCCAGGGGTGGTGGGCCTGCCTAGGGTGGTGGGCCTGCCTGGGGTGGTGGGCCTGCCAGTGGTGGTGGGCCTGCCAGGGGTGATGGGCCTGCCTGGGGTGGTGGGCCTGCCTGGGGTCCAGCGTTACAAGCTTGGGGTAGACAGGAAAGCATGGTCATGTGCAGAACGCATGGACTGCCGGGAAACATGGGGGCTGTAGCTCCCGGGAATGGCCGGATTGGCTGTTCCCACCTGTGCCCGAAGCCCAGGCGTTCGGACCTCAGTCCACACAGGCCCCATCGTTTCCTGCATGGTGACCGGAGGTGGCCTGTGCAGCACTAATGCCGGTTGCTCTGATCCCACAGACAGAAGCACGGAGTGCAGCCAAGCTCCCCACGCTCCAACCCTGAGGCTGCCCCCAGCCCCCGAGCAGAAGAGTATGGCCACCAGCGCTGAGGACAAGGTCGGTCAGGAGCAGGGCTTAGGGGCCAGGCACCCGCACGTGTCCCAGTGTGGTGTTTGTCCAGGATCCTGCTGGTCTGTGCAGAATTGCTGGGTGCCGGCCAGCAGCCCTGGGATCCCTGGGGAGTGTGGCTGGGCTGTGCTCCAAGCTCGCAGACAGGGCCTCCCCTGGCTTCCACGTGGACACTGCTGCTACCAGGCATGACTTGGGCTGCTGCTTTGCTGTTAGAGAAAACCCAGGTCTGTCTTTTGTTTCTGGGACATGGGCTCCTGGGCCAGCGTCTGTGCCCTCTGGCTGCTGGCAGGCCACACCAGAGCTTGGTGGACACGACGTTTGATGCAGCTGAGTGGGGCTTGGAGCAGCCTCAATGGCCTTTGCTGGCTGTGTTTGCAAACCCCAGGGAGCATGTACTCAGCTCCTGTCAGGCACACTGGCTCTGGGGCCACCCCACCATACCTGCTGCTACCCTGGGGCCACCCCCACCTGCCCCTCCCCTGGGGCCACCCCCCACCCCCCACCTGCCCCTCCCCTGGGGTCACCCCCCACCCCCCACCTGCCCCTCCCCTGGGGTCACCCCCCACCCCCACCTGCCCCTCCCCTGGGGTCACCCCCCACCCCCCACCTGCCCCTCCCGTGGGGTCACCCCCCACCTGCCCCTCCCCTGGGGTCACCCCCACCCCCCACCTGCCCCTCCCCTGGGGTCACCCCCCACCCCACACCTGCTCCTCCCCTGGGGTCCCCAGCTGGGGTCACCCCTCAAAGGCATCTGGTCATGTTCTCCTGGTCCCTTTGGTTGCTGTTGGATACTCCCTGTGAAGGCTGCTCTGGGGTGTGGTTTGTGACAGCCTTTCTGAATTCCCCTGGGGTCATTCTTGGTTGTGTCCTGACCTTTCAGGGGAATCACAGAGAATCCCTGTGGCACACACAGTCTGCACCCCGGGGTGGAGGACCCTGGCTGTGGGAGCGCCAGCCTCACCCAGCCCGTATGCCCCTGAGCAGGTGACAGCATGCAGGGACCTGGGTGGTGTCTGACAATGCCCTGAATGGGGTCAGGCTCTCCTCCCAGTGCCCAGTGGAGGCCCCAGCCCTGGCTGCTCAGTGGGAGAATACAGGAGGAACCTCCCCTGATGCCAGCAGATCCCCGCCCCAAGCCACCTGGGCCATCGTCCTTGTCCTTGAGGTTCATGGGGCTTGTGTAATATCCCTTTAACTCTCTGGTCCCAGTTGATTCACCCCTTCCAGTCTGAAATGGGCTGGGCCTTTCTCAGCCAGGGGACTGGCTCCTGACTTCCTCCTGCCCCAGGGGACCTGGGCATGCCTGCCCAGGCTGCACTGCCAGGCGTCTGCGCCCAGGCGGTGTGGTGTGCTGGGATGCAGGGGTCTTCCCAGTTCTCGGCAGGGGCTCACCCACTGCCGCTGTGCTGGGTCAGGTTGTCTGCAGTGACATTGCTGATTCCAGAGCCTTCCCTTGGTGCCTGGCTGAGAGGCGTGTGCAAAGTTAACAGTGGCCTCTCTCTCTCTGTCTCCCTCAAGGGGCAGGGGCCTCCTTCCATCCTGGTGAGAGGGGACGACAGCGCGCCTAGAGGAAACAGACCTGTGGCTTCCACGCCTGTGCCTGGGTCACCCTGGTAAGAGGCCTTTGTCCCCGCACCTCGTCCCTGCCTGTGTGCGGTGCCCCTAGGGAGAAGTATGCGTGCGTGCCTGCCTGTGGTGTTTTAAAGCAGGTCCACGGACAGTCACTCCAGGGTACGGGTTTCCCACTGAGGGTGGACACGGGCAGGGCCAAGTGGATGCAACATGCTGGTATTTCAAAGGGTTTTCTGCTGCCAGCCAACATGACCAAGTGGCCCACCTGGTGGGCAGGTGAGGACCTAATGGATAGGTGGTGGGGACCTGATGGGCAGGGGGGAACCTGGTGGGCAGGTGAGGACCTTATGGGCAGGGGGACCTGATGGTGGGGACCTGATGGTGTGGACCTGATGGGCATGGGGCCTGATGGGCAGGTGGGGACCTGGTGGGCAGGTGGGGACCTGATGGGCAGGGGTACCTGGTGGGCAGGTGGGGACCTGATGGGCAGGGGTACCTGGTGGGCAGGCTGTGTCTAGGGCAGCTCTGCTCTCAGCTGAGTCACTTCTCATGGTCATGGCCCGGTACCTTCGATGTCCTCCTTGGCGTCTACTTGCCCTACAAGCCCCTGACCCCTCAGCAAGACTGGCAGAAGCTCTAGGTTGTCACTGCTGACCCGGGCCCACACTGGGTCCTGTGGCTGCAGATTACCGCCCTCAGCTGCAGGCCTGAGCTTCCCTGGTCAGCAGGACTTTGAGAATGTGGCAACAGAAGGAAAGGCAGCCCCAGGGCCCCAGCTTGCTCTTGTCCCCCCGTGCTGCCTCCAGGCAACGGGAGAGAGCTCAGTGGGGCAGGGTTCCTGGGGCCACTGCGGGGGGGAGGCGGTGCCCAGGGGAGGCCCAGGGGAGCCTGACCATCACCGGGCAGGTCCTCGGATGCACTGTCACTGTAGGGACATCCCCAGACTGAGATGGGCTGCAGATGTGGTGTGAGTGCTGGGGCTGGGCAGGCAGGGGAGAGCGTGGGATCCTCCTTGCTGCAGGTGACCCTGGGCTGGGGGCAGATACTTCCTCAGTGCTGACAGCAGAGTGGCCACACGGGCCTCCTGGAGTGTAACCATGGGAGAAGCACTGACTGTGTCGGCCTGGGATGACAGCAGGGCAAAGCACCGTCATCCCTGCCAGAGCTCCTGTCTGCAGCTCAGTCTCTCCAAGACCCAGGGCCTCCTCCAGGGCATGGCTCATGCCTGAGCTGAGCCGGCCAAGGGGAGTAGAAGAGCAAGACCAAGACCAAGGTTCGCTCCCGCGGGCCCCTCCTGCTCTCCCCGGGCGCAGGACGGCGGGGGGGGGGGCCGGGGGAGCTGGCGTCACATCTGAGTTCGGCTCCCATCTGGGGTGTGTTCTTGCTAGAGGAGTGTGGGTTTTCTCACTCGAAGGATCTGATTCTGTTCACCGTTTGACTTTTTGCCCAAATGGTGACATGGAAACCTTTGTCTCTCGCCGGGAAGGAGTTGACTGTGTTTGCTGGAGTTGATGCCATGGGGGAACTTCAAAGATAATTGCTAAACAATGTGTGAAATCAATGAGCTTTTGGCTGAAATGACAATAAAGGTCAATGCCAGGGATTAATTTGCATCTTCAAATCGTTTAAAAGGCAAAAGATTTGCAAAAGATGAGCCATCTTTGTGAAATTATGAAGTACACATTGGTGCCGGGTTTGGCATCAATCTTTCCTGCAAAGCCAGACCACCGCTCAGCAGCCGCACCCCCATTCTCCTGTGCTTACCGGCTGGCAGCAAGTGTGGCCACCCCAGAGGGCAACTTTGGAGGGTGCTGCCCAGCAGCTGTTCATCCAGAGGAGGGGAGGCGGCGAAGATGGAGGAGGAAGTGACACGGGGTGTCCCTCAGACGTGAGGGTGTGTGTCACCACCAAGCAACTGGCCAGTGGAGAAGTGAGTGTGGGCAGACGCTGGGCACAACCAGCGTGGTACTACAAACACTGCATAACCACGATGCAACGAGCTGACCGCTGCCGTGGGTCCTGGCTTCGTCAGTAATCTGCCTGTAAGATTGATGACATTGTTTATTAGTAACTATCTTGAAAAGCTGTATTTATTTATTTGAAAGAGTTAGAGACCAGGAGAGACTGTTGATCCACTAGTTCACTCTCCAGGTGGCTGTGGCAGTGAGGGTTTGGCCAGTGCTGAGGCCATGTGGGGGCTTGGCCAGCGCTGAGGCCATGTGGGGGCTTGGGCCATCTAGTGCTGCCTTTCCGGGTAGTTAACAGGGAGCAGTGGGACACCCCTGTGGGTTGTAGGTGGAGCCTTCGCTCGCTGTAACGCAATACTGGCCCCTATTTGTAACTACTGGCTTATTGGTATTTACTCAAAATGGCTTCTCTGGAGCTTCCAGAATAAAGGCAGTGCGTGTTTGGCTTGGTGCATTCCACTGCAAGCTTGGCGGACAGCAGAACACCTCCAGGGAGGGAGCGTTTCCTGGGGCCCAGGGCTGCAGCGGAAGTTGGGGTCCATGTTTGTGCTTGGCTGCTGACTTCAGAGCTGGGTCCGGCCTGTGGTGGGGAGAAGCCCAGCGTCCCTGTCTGCCCCTGCCGGCGTGGCCCGATTGTGTCAGAGGAAGTGCAAAGGCTGGGATGCTGCAGGAAGCATCCCTGTGGTCCCCGGCAGGGGTGGGGGAGAGAAACAGGGACTGGGAGACAGCTAGCCAGTGGCATGTGCAAGCCATTCCTCTCCAGGGACCTCTTCGGAGTCCACGGACCCTGCTTTGCCTGTCATTGCCACGTGGTGAGGGCCTGGACGTGGAGTCTGGCTACTGTGAGAGAGGAGCCCTTGGTGTGGGGGAAGCTGGGGCAGGGTCCAGGGCGGGGCCAGGGAGTGTCACCATGCACCCCCATGAAGGCGGGCTGGGTCCCACGTGGGTGCGTGGGTCATCCTCGGCTCCTTCCCAGGTGTCATAGCAGGGAGCTGGGCTGGAAGTGGGGTTCCCCGGATGGGGTGGGCTCACGCACAGCTGAGCTGCAAGCTAGCCTGCAGCTTCTGCTGTGAAAACAGAAAACATGTGTCCCTGAAATGACTGACGCTGGATGCTGGACAGCGACCTTGTTCGGATTCTGCAGGGACGCCTGGTGGGCAGCTGAAACGGGGAGGCTGGGCCGGGCTCTCCCAGGCACCCTGCTGCCCACGGAGGCCTTGGCGCGGCGCGGGCTGGGGAAGGAGATGCTGGCACTCCCCTCCCCCCACCCTCCCACCCCAGGACACTGCAGGGCAGTTGGTGGAAACTGTTGCTGACCCAGGCCGAGGTCCACCCACCAGGCCCCCAGCCTCCTCGGTCAGGGGCTGGAGACCCCTGTGATGGGCACAGGTGGCAGGCTCCCTGCTGAGCCCTGGGGCCTGCACCGGATACATATGCACATGGGGCAAGAGCCTGGCTAGATGCTGGGTACCCACAGGGCAGGCTCTCCAGTGGGCCCTGGGACCTGCACTAGTTATGGGGCCTGACCAGGCACTGGGACAGATAGGGGCCTCTCTGGGTGCTGGGTGTAGGGCCGGGGCTTGTCTGGGTGCTGGGTACCCACAGGGCAGGGGCCTGGCAGGGTGCTGGGACAGATAGGGGCCTCTCTGGGTGCTGGGTACCAACAGGACAGGAGCCTGGCTGGGTGTTTCTTGTCTCCAGCCTGGAGTGGCATGCGGGACATCTTGTCTGCAGGGCCTTCCTGGAATGCATGGGGGAGGGGACTGCAGCCGGGGAGGGGTGCTGAGGGCAAGCGTCAGGCTGGAGAGCAGCTGGGAGCTTGCTGCCCTCTCCCTGTGCTGCCGAGCCCCACCCACAGTTCCCTCATCCCCAACTGCCAGTGGGTGGGACAGATGCTCAGTCCTCCCCAGGGCAGTCCACCTGACGTCCAGACCCCAAGGGAGGCGCAGACCAGGGACACCAGCCCTGTCCAGCACCGTGGAGTGCCAGGCCCCACCGGCAGGAGGAGCTCTGGAGAGGGCCTGTGTGGGAGGGGCAGGAGGCCAGCCCTGGGGGCTGAGCTGGAAGCTGGGGGAGAGGCCCCCGGGGTGCAGAGCTGCTGGCTGGCTGTTTGCAGGGGGATCGGAGGATCCTTTGTAGAGCAAAGCAAGCCTGCCTTGTTCTGTGGAGCCTGGGATCTCCTGCATTAAGGCTGCGCCGAGTGGATGAGGCGTCCACCGCCTCACTGTGGTGCACTAATGACCCCCTCTGGGATGCCGGGCCGTGGGAGGGGGAGGGAAGCTGGCGGCTGCCCAGGAATTCCGCTGCCCAGCTAAGGAAGGGGAGCGTGCACACATTACTGGAAGTGGGCATAAAATGCTACATAAAATTAATTTTGCATGTTACAGCTGGCTCCATCCGGTTGAAAACAACCATAACTAGCACACAACTGACTTGTCAGGGGAGCCCCATTTACTTACCTGCCTCCGACTCTGGGCTTCAGCTCCGTGTGCCCAGCACCATCCTGGGCACAGGACCAGGGCTCTGTGTGGCCTCTGCTGCCACCCCTACTCGCCTGGGCAGATCTGCTGCGCCCTGACTTTGGATGTTGGATGGCGGCAAGTGAGAGGCTTAGCGCTTGCTGCCCGCCAGGGGCGCACTCGGCCCTGGGGGACGGCTCTGCTGGTGACCCCTGCAGCCTCTGGAGTTGCAGCGTCTACAACGAAGACCAACGCAGGGCGAGCCTGGCCACACCCATCTTCAGGTGCCGCACTGCCGTCCAGCAGGCCAGGGGTCCGAGGAAGGGCAGAGCCCTGGGGCCTTCCGCTGGAGCCCTGTGCCCATGTTGGCTGCTTGGTTTTCTGCGGGCACAGGCTGGCTGGGCACCTGCTGACAGCTTTGTAACACCTGAGAGTCCCTGAGGAGAGACTTTCCACCCACAGGTGCGTGGTGTGGACAGGCGACGATCGCGTGTTCTTCTTCAACCCCACCATGCAGCTCTCTGTCTGGGAGAAGCCCAGGGACCTCAAGGACCGAGGGGACCTCAACAGGATTATCGAGGACCCACCCCACAAGCGCAAGCTGGAGGCCTCAGCAGGTAACTGAGGGCCAGGCTGGCCAAGGGGACCTGTGAGGGTGCGTGTGTGGGCGACGTGCCCACATGGCAGTGCCCTGGGCATAGCTGTATGAAGGGCTGCAGGCTCATTCCGGCGGCTTGCATCCAGGGTCTTGGCGCAGATGTTGGGTCCTGACAGGGTGGCCTGGGGCATGTGTAGAAGAAACCCTTCCAATGGCTGCCGCCCATTGCCACGAGGCCCGGCTGGCTGAGCACGCGCAGGTGTCTTGACCCCAGGAGGTGGGGGGCTCTGGTGGAGCCTTCGTGTTCCTGGGGTGCTGTCGGGGCATTCATGACACTTGCGATCCGTGGTCCGTGAGATGCTGCCGTCTGCCTGCTGCTGTGAGGAGGCGCGTGCCTGGGAGCACTTCCTGCACGCTGTTGGCAGCGCTGAGTGTGGGGATGGCGGCTCTGTTAGCTGTGTTAGTCTCCTAAGGGGGAGGAGCGACAAGTGCAGCGTGTCTCACTGAAGGTAATGACAGAATCCTCCGAGCGCTCCAGTCAGTGGGCTCGGGGAGACAGGTGCCCGGCGGGTGCAGGCTGAGCTTGGGTGGCTCGGCGCTGTCACAGAGCTGCTTCTCCACCCCCTGCACACCCTGGGGAGCTGGGAGTAGTTCGAGGGCGCAGGGGTCGGAGTGGTGATTCTGCTGTGGGGTGGGCTCCCTGGCCTGTGTTCCTGTGGGTGACCCGGTGTTGTCTCCCCGAGGGCGGGCGGAGCTCACGCTCAGTCCCAGAAGCCCTTGCATCCCTGCTTCCTGCACTCACTCAAGGCTGGGGGGAGTGCCGCTCAGCTCCCCACTCTGCCTCCGGCCAGCTGTGCTGCCCAGGCCTGCAGCTCTGTGGATGGGGACACAGACCTGAGCCCCCAGGAGGCGCCTCCATCCATGCTCCATTTCACCCCATTGACAAGTATCTCATAGAACCTTCCATGTAAGGAATCTAGCTGGTGCCCCCCGAATAATTGAGACATGGCGTGTCGTAGAGTTTTGTCCCCCCATCTATTGGCTGTGTCTCCATAGACGCCTGTGTGCAAAATGCCAACCCTGTGTGGCTGCAGGATGAGTCTAACCTTCCTGCCTCTTCTGAGAGGATGACATTGTCCTGGAAGAGCTGCAGGATATGTAAATGACTCCAGTGGGCCACCTCTGGCTGCCCGGCCCCGGTGCTGGCCTTTGAGAACGCAACTCTCCAGAGATCCCAGCTGGGAGCTTTGCAATGGAGCAATTAGGGCAGGAGATGTTTCTGGAGGATTAATTAAGGAATTAATTAATTAAGGCAGAGTGGACGGCCTGGGCCCTGGGTGGCCCATTGGCATTTCCTGATAGGGTCGTTCATCACAGCCCATCCACTGCCATTCTAATGAACTGGTGGGCAGCTTGCCTTGGCTGGATGACCCTGTCTTGCAGATGCGGCTAGGGTGTGAGCCACAGCAGAGCCCCTTCTGGGTCTGAGTGGCACATGGGGGCGTCCTGGTGGAAGTAAAGCGAGGACGGCCCACAATGGCCACACGTCTAGCTTCACTGCAGGAGTGTCAGCATTGCAGACAGGGTGGGGTCACCATCACAGACAGGGCAGGGTCAGATCACAGACAGGGCGGGGTCACCATCACAGACAGGGTGGGGTCACCATCACAAGGCGGGGTCAGCATCACAGAAGGGCGGGGTCAGCATCACAGGGCGGGGTCAGATCACAGACAGGGCGGGGTCACCATCACAGGGCGGGGTCACCATCACAGACAGGGCAGGGTCACCATCACAAGGCGGGGTCAGCATCACAGAAGGGCGGGGTCAGCATCACAGGGCGGGGTCAGATCACAGACAGGGTGGGGTCAGCATCACAGGGCGGGGTCAGCATTACCTGTTTCTGGCCTTGCTCTGGACACCCACTGGGACTCCAGTGGCCCCCTTGTGACCTGGCTGAGCACTGGTTGGTGGTGGAGGCTCTGGTGTGCGTGGTGTTGGGCATTATGCCTGCTGCCAAGCAGGGAGTTGGGGTTCCACCCTGCCCTGTTCTTGGTGTGTTGGCTGAGCTCCCACCAGCTCCAGTGTTATCACCCTTGCCAGAAGCTTCGTGTGGTCTCCGTGTGGACCTGTGGAGTCCTCTCACGACAGGTCACTTCCTGCAGGCACAGCTCCCTGGCCTGGGCCACCCCGCCTGCTCTGTGCACTCACTGGGAGCTTTGGGGAAGACTGGGGCATGTATCAGGGGTAACAGCAACTGTGGCCTCCTCCCCTTGGGTAGAGGAGAGACGAGGCAGGGCAGCGAGGGTGGCCAGAACTCCATCCCTGCCTCCCTTCTGTGTGTCTCAGTTCCATGGCCCAGGAGGATGGCGTGTGCAGGGTGATGGAGGGGGGTGGCATGTAGAGGGTGGTGGAGGGGGATACATGTGCACCTGTCACCTCCTAGGGTCTCTATAGTCTTGGTAGCCCCAGGAGGTGAGTGCTGAAAGAGGGGGTTAGAGTGAAAAACCATCAGGCAGAGCTCAAAGAGGGCAGCGGTCAGGGGACCCATGGCTGGGTCTGCAGGGTAGCGGTCAGGGGGTGTGGGGTTGGGTCTGCAGGGCAGTGGTCAGGGGGTGTGGGCTGAGTCTGTAGGGCTGAGTCCCAGGCTCTTGCCCAGAAGCCCTGTGCTCACCTGGTCTGGCCTCTAGCTGGACCACTGCTTGGTCCTTAACAGTTGGGATAAGCAGGCCCTGCCTGTCCCTGCCAAGGGCCCTGTGAGCTCCAGGACCCGGGGTTGGGGGGACAAGGCTCCCCAGTGAGCTCCAGTGCCCAGAGGAGACATGGGGGACACAGAGCAGGTGGGAGAGCTCTGGGAGGGCCATTGGCTTAGGGGAGTGGGGACACAGAACGAGCAGAAGGGGTGACGTAGTGGGAGGTACATCCCTGTGCACTCGCTGGTGCTCTCCAGGGAGCGGGTTGTGCTGGAGCTGCAGTTCTCATAGGCACCAGTGTCACCAAGGACATTGACAGTCTCTGCTGCTCTCCTGCTGCCATTTCCACCCTCCCGAGTCCCCACAGTCCTCACAGTCCCACCCCTCCATGTCCCCACAGCCTCCACCATCCCGTGTCCCCACAGCCCCAAGCTTCTGGAACATGAACCAACAAGTGGATGAGGATCAGGGTGACTGCAGAGCTGTCATCAGACTTGCATGGCAGTGATGATTGTTGGGGGTTCCGAGCAGAGGATAGGGGCCTCTAAGGGCCAACCAGGGATCTTCTGCATACACCAGGTTCTCATGGCTCGGTAGGCGTGAACACCTGGAGGGACGCTGCCCCCTCTGGGACGGGCTGGCAGCAGGAGGGTCCCGGTGAGGCACAGGGCAGGGGGGCAGGTGGGCATGGGTGGCTGTGCCCAGCCTCTGCAGCTCCTGCAATGTCCACTGCCCCTTGGGGCGGGGGGCCCACAGAGCACCCACTCACTGCAGTCAGGACAGACCTGATAGGGGTCGCAGGTGGTGACAGTGATGACACACAGGCCACATGTGTCGGGCTCCTGGTGGTGGACGGGGGGCTCTCGGGGGCTCCAGGAGGCAGGCTAGGGGCACGGGAGCCCGGTGGACATGCCCTGAGTCCTGCAGCTTCCAGCCCCTCTGAGTGGACAGCGGCTGTGATGATCTTCCTGCAGGTCAAAGAGAGGCCCGCCCCAGGCTTGCTGTCCGTCCCGGAGGGTCCACGTTCGCCCTCCCAGGACTGTGGGGGCGGGCGCGGCCAGGGCTCAGTCCAGCATGACCATGGACCTCCAGCCACGGCTTATCTTTTTCAGCCGACAGCAGTGATGAGTCCGGCTCTGAAGATGGCAGGGAACCGCAGAACATGAAAACCAAGAGGAACCGGTAGGTGACCGTGCCCTTCCTGCCCCACTCCCTGCTGGGCACCCAGGAAGGGCCATCTGAGCAGAGGGCTGATGGAGCTGCAGAGCATGGGGCAGCAGGGCTCTCGTGTGCCCTGCCTCTGCTCTGTTTCTCGCTGTGCATGGGAACCCATGGGACTGGCCAGTGGGGGAGGGTCACGTGCAGGGAGAGAGGGCAGGTGTAGGGCACTGAGGTCTGGTTCTGGCTTGGGTCCCCAGGGCAGCCTGGCAATGGCTGTGATGGGTGTTGCACTTGAACCAGCCTGTCCTGCCAAGTCCTGCCTGAACCCCCATGTCCTTCTGCAGGGCTGCTGGCCTACGCTGGCCCATATGCAGAGGCTACTTGTGGGGAATGTGTCTGAGCCCCCAGCCGGGAAGGGTTCTGGAAAGGGTGATGTGGCTGTTGGAGCACTTGACCCCAGTGGAGGTGTGGGGTGACTCGAGCCAGGGGCCCTGTGGTGGCTTTCGGCTCTGGTGTCTGCCCAGGTGATGCTGCAATGGGCGTCTGGTGCTCCCAGAGGTGCCTCCCTTATGCTCCAGGTTCCTATGCCCCACCCTGTTGTGCCACCCCTGGGCTTCTGACGGCTACTGCTCAAGGGTGGCTTGGACCCTGTGCCCACTTCCTGTGACCTTGTCTCCCATTCTGTGAGGGGGAGGGGAGCAAGATCAAGGGCCCGGCCTGGACGTCCTGGCAGCTGGGCAGAGCAGAGCCTTCTGTCTGCTGAATGACTGAGTCAGGCAGCAGTGGACCCTGCTGGATTCAGTAAGAAACAGACATCTCAGGGTGTTCCAGAGCAAGGAAAGAAAGCTGGGCACTGCCCCTTCCAAAGGGCAGGGAGGCATGGGCAGGGGAGGGGATTGGCCCGTGAGCCCCCTGGGCACGCGGGCTTCCCCGCCTGATGTTTTCTCTCTAGGAAGACTGTGAGGGTCTTGGGCTGTGCCTTCTGTGGCTTCACTGAGACCGTTGGTTGGCTCGGTTTCCGCTGGCCTTGGATGCCAGGGCCGGGTCTCAGGGTGGAGCCCTCACCTGGAAGAAGAAGATGGAGCCGCCTGAGGGTGGCATGTTAAATGGGGCCTGGGGAAAAGGCTTGTCTTGTCCCAGGCAACACAGCTGCCCTGCATCACAAGCTCTGAGCTATTTCTGGTCCGGGCCTGGTTGACGCTGACCGTGGCCGGGGCCTGGCTCTGACCCTGACCCTTGGCTCAGGACTGACTACCAGCCTCCTGTGATGGTCTGTGGTGGTGGCGAAGGCCAGTCCTCCTCCAGGGCTGATGGCCGCCTGTGGTTTCCTGTGGGCTGCCTCCACAGGCCTGCCGGGATCTTGCTGTCCTGGCGTGTGCTTCTGATATAAATAATGTAATTTTCCTCATCAGAAAGCACTCAGAATTCTCTTCTACCATGTGACTGACTCATCAGCTGCTGTGTTACGATGCTTAAGGAAGAAATAGAGGAGGAGGAGGCTGGCCGAGGGTGCTGGGCTCAGCCGCCCGCGTGTCTCTGAGCTGCAGCTCGAGGGATTGTGCAAATAATTCAAGACTGAACAGGTCTTTTCCCAAAATTCCCTGGGAGGAGAAGTGCATCCGAATGACAGGCGTTCAGACCTGGAGAGGCTCAAACTATTGGGTGAATGCCATTTCACATCACGTGTGCTCTATTGTTTACTGGACATATTCAACAAGCAGAACCTGCCCTGGGACTAGATCACAAACTCCCCAACGCCATTTAGTACCAGTGCCTGTGGTGGCAGTGATGACTGTGATGGTGGCTGTGGTGGCTGTGATGGTGGCAGTGGTGGCTGTGGTGGTGGCTGTGGTGGCTGTGGTGGCAGTGATGGTGGCTGTGGTGGCTGTGGTGGCTGTGGTGGCTGTGGTGGCTGTGGTGGCTGTGGTGGCTGTGGTGGCTGTGATGGTGGCTGTGGTGGCAGTGGTGGCTGTGGTGGCTGTGATGGTGGCTGTGGTGGCTTTCATGGCTGTGGTGGCTGTGGTGGTGGCAGTGGTGGCTGTGGTGGTAGCTATGGTGACTGTGGTGGCTGTGGTGGCTGTGGTAGCTGTGGTGGTGGCAGTGGTGGCTGTTGTGGTGGCTGTGGTGGCTGTGGTGGCTTTCATGGTAGTGGTGGCTCTGTGGTGGCTGTGACAGTGCTAGCTGTGGTTTTTTCTACGTCACCTCACTGCCTCTATCAGTCTCATGCCAAAGCTCGAGCCTGAGGCGCCTGTCCCAGCTGTACCCACTTGGGTGATGGCTTTGTAACCTCACCAACGTCCCAGACAGCTGCAGTGTCAGCATGCACTGGGGGTGGGAGCTACCTGTGCTCTGGTGCTGGGATAGCAGATGTGTGCACCCATGTGAGGGGTTGCATGCCTGGTAGCTGCTCCTCCCCTGGGCCCCAACAGTTGGGGATGCCATTCCAGCTTGGCCGAGCCAAGCACGGAGGCAACATGGAGCATCTCCCAGCATTTCCCTTGGACCGTTGTGTAGTCCCAGCTCATGCCAGTGGCAAGGCCCCACAGCTCATGGACGTGGCCAGTGGCCATGATGCACCCTGTGGTTGCCTCCCTCCTGTGCCCGTCCTTGGTTTCAAGTGCTGACCTGAGCAGTGCAGGGCATGGCAGCAATGCCCACATGCCCTGTCCCACCCAGGACCTTGCAGTCCGCCCAGAGTGCCATACCAGTCCTTCGTACAGTTGCCGGCGACAGTCTCTGCCTGCACCTGGCTTGTTCCCATCCTGCAGCTTGTCTCGTCTGAAGATCATCCATTACAGATGCATAGTAGAGTGTCTGAGGCCCGGGGGCAGATGCTGTCAGAAATGCTGGTTCCTGCCGGCTTCCCACTGTGTTCAACACTGGAGCTGCAGCCCGGTAAGGTTTGGATGATAAATTCCCAGCCCTCCCCACATCCATTAAGTCAAGTAAAAGATGAGATGTTGGCAAGAAGAACGAAGGCCTGGAGCCACGGGAGAGCTGGCAGACAATCACAGACACAGAGATGATGGCAACAAATCACCACCATCACCATCACTGTCATTATCTCCACCATCACCGTCATCACCATCATCACTACTATCACCATCATCACCAGTGCTGTCATCATCACCACCATCATCACCATCATCACTATTGCCATCACTACCATCATCACCACCATCAGTACCATTGCCATGATCACCATCACCACCATCACTGTCATTATCTCCACCATCGCATCACCATCACCATCATCACTACTATCACCATCATCACCAGTGCTGTCATCATCACCATCATCACCACCATCACCATCACCATCACTGTCATTATCTCCACCATCACTGTCATCACCACCATCAGTACCATCGCCACCATCATCACCACCACCACCATCACCATCGCTGTCATTATCTCCACCATCACCGTCATCACCACCATCACCACCACCACCATCATCACCACCATCACCATCACCATCACTGTCATTATCTCCACCATCACCGTCAACACCACCATCAGTACCATCGCCACCATCATCACCACCACCATCACCATCATCACCATCATCACCACCATCACCATCACCATCACTGTCATTATCTCCACCATCACTGTCATCACCACCATCAGTACCATCGCCACCATCATCACCACCATCACCATCATCACCACCACCACCATCATCACCACCATCACCATCGCTGTCATTATCTCCACCATCACCGTCATCACCACCATCACCACCACCACCATCATCACCACCATCACCATCGCTGTCATTATCTCCACCATCACTGTCATCACCACCATCAGTACCATCGCCACCATCATCACCACCATCACCATCGCTGTCATTATCTCCACCATCACCGTCATCACCACCATCACCACCACCACCATCATCACCACCATCACCATCGCTGTCATTATCTCCACCATCACCGTCATCACCACCACCATCACCATCATCACCATCACCACCATCATCACCACCATCACCATTATCATCTCCACCATCACCATCAGCCTCACTGTTGTCAGTCCATCCACAGTCCAGGCCACACCTTGTAGTTTATATGCGTGGACTTCCTGCCTGTGAAGTGGAGCTGTGGTCATGAATAACTGATATGATGCAGGGGAGTGAGAAGATCTGACACTGTGACAGGCCAATGCCAAGAACTGTCCATGTTCTGGAATGTTTCTGTCCGACTTTGTAGATAAAGAAGGAGAATTCAAGAGTTACTGAAGGGGAGTCCTGCCTGATGACATGGCATGTCACAGGGCATGCCCAGGTTCAAGGCCAGCTCTGTGGAACTGGAAGGATCAAGTTTCGAAGATGCATTCATTTATTTGGAAAACAGAGTGAGAAGGAAAGATGGAGAGAGATCTTCCATCTGCCGTCCATCTACTGGACCCCGCCAAGGCCAGGAGCATGGAACTCCATCTGGGCCTCGCAGAGCTGCCAGGGATGGCCCAAGCACTTGCGCTGTCTTCTGCTGCTTTTCCAGACACATGAGCAGGAGGCTGGGTTGAAAGCAGAGCAGCCAGTGCCCGGATGGGATGCCTTACCAGAGTGTTGCTTAAGCTGCCGAGCCACAGTGCCAGCCTAAGATCAAGCTTTACTTGAGCACCCAGCTCTCTTCACTTGCCCCTGTGCCTTACCCCTGCGCCACAGACTGATTTGCCAGTATTGTTTCTGCTGGGGATAGAGGTGGGACTTGCAGACACGAATGTACATCCTTGACCACTGTTTGGGGAGTGAGGGCTCCTGCCTCACCTGTCCTTCGCTGCTGCGTGGCCTGGATGAATCTTTCAGCCGCTGTGTTCAGTGGGAACGGTCAGGAAGGCCGCCACAGGTACTGAGCCTTCTGCAGGGTCGACACGGACACGGGACGTGGGGAGCTGCATATAATGTGCCCCTGTGGACAGCACAGGTGGACCCCAACAGGCAGACCTCTTCCTCATCGCTCTGTCCCACGTGGAGGTGGCCCATGTGGATGGCAGCATCACCCTCCGGATGCCATGCTGCAGGGCTGAGCAGAGCTGCACACAGGAGGAACATGCTCGATGGGGCTTCCGGTGCCCATCGGGGTGTCCTCCTGGGAGCGGCCAGGGCACCAAGTGGGAGCCTCCTGTGGTCTGTGGGAGGACAAGTGGCAGAGGGACACTTGGGAAGACCCAGCCACTCTAGCCCTGTGGTCAGGGCCCAGGCACCCAGAGTGGGAAGGAGTGTGTGAGCAGGATTCCGCTGTGCGTGGATTCGTGTCCTGCAGGCATGTGCAGGCTGAGGGTGCCTGGTAGGTTGAGTGCACATGACACTGCCGTGTTCTATGGACCTTCCGTGTCTGCAGCTCGAAGCCTGGCAGGCTGGAGCCGCCACCTGCCAGGGGCCCCAACAGGGCGGCCAGACGCTGACCCTCAGCTGGGCACAGTGCCCCGTGTTCAGGAATGCTCCTGGTTTCATTCCTGGCTGTGGGTTGTCCGCAGCCTGTGTAGGGGCAGGATGGGGCCCTGTGTACAGCCTGGCAGCCCAGCCCCTCCCTGAATTGATCTGTGGACCCAGAGGGTCAGTTCCTGCATGCAGACATGGGCATGGTTCCGGCTAGGAGGGGCCCCTGTGGACGCATTCTGTCCAGCTCCCACCTGCTGGCAGTGCAGAGCCCTGAGTGGTGACTTGGTGCCAGCAGGGCTGTGAGCAGGGCTCCCAGAAGATGGTGTGGGCGGGGAGCCCCGAGGGCCACTCTGGGGCCAGTGCTGACCTTGAGGGCAGCAGGCCAGCACCCTGGAGGCATCTCTGCTCCCACGGCTGCAGCCCTGGCCTCCTTAGCAGCAAGGAAGAGCCAGGTCTGGGGCTGTGTTGTCAGGACTGGGGCACCTGCCCTGGCTGCTGTGCCGACCTGTGCTTGAAGGACTGGAAAGGAGGCGTGGGGTCACCAAGGCTGAGGAGCAGGCTTGGGTCACAGTGTCCAGGTCTTCTGAGGATACTGACCCTGTCCACAGGAGTCGCGCCTCGTGTTGCTGTGGGTGCTCCCAGACAACCCTGTTGAGATCCCACGCGCCTCCCTTGCACCGCCAGGCCCAGGGCAGAGCCTCTAACAGAGCCCTGAGTGAGGATGGCTGGCCATCTGCAGCTCCAGGCCCTGCCAGGGTGCCCTGGTTAGGCCAGTGCTGGCCCAGGAGCCGCGGACGCGCAGACAGGAAGATGGTGTTTCCCACAGCTTGGAAGCATCCTAGCTGCTCAGAGGAGCAGACATGGCAGCAAAGTCCTGGGCCTCACCCTAGGGCGTGCCTGGCACCCCACACCTGGGTGAACTTGGAGATCCAAGCCCAAGTGCCTGACGCCTGCTCATCCCCACGTTTCACACAGACCCCATGGTGTCAAATACCAGGAGTCCAGCTCCCGGGCCAGCGCTGGCCTAACCAGGGCACCCTGGCAGGGTACCTAGCCAGGGTACCTAACCAGCTCCTGGGCCAGCGCTGGCCTAACCAGGGCACCCTGGCAGGACCTGGGGCTGCAGATGGCCAGCCAGCCGTCCTCACTCAGGGCTCTGTTAGAGGCTCTGTCCTGGGCCTGGCAATGTCGGGAGTCCAGTTCCTGAGGCTAGTTCTGGCTGAGCCTGCAGGGCCCGAGCAGGCTGCACTGGCCAGGTGGTCACTAGGGCCAGGCTGCTTCCAGGCGGGGAGGAAGAGGGGCCAGGCACAAGGGGAGCTGTGTCTGCCCATGCCACTTCTCCAGCAGACAATGTTTAGACTTACCAAGATATTTCCAGAAGATTCTAGATTCAAGTGCAGAGTGATGAAAAGTTTTTAAAGACAACACAGGGCACAGAGCTGGTACTTAATGAAGGCTGGTTCCCTACCCCAAAACATGGGGGAGGAAGCCCTGGTGAGCAACATCCTGGCCTGGCAAGCTTGGCTCCTAGGTGCCACTTCCATTCCTGCAGGGGACTGTGGGCCCAGCCTGGCAATGCCTTCTGCTGGGCAGGGCGAGTCCCTAAAACCCGGGACCATGTGGCATTCTGTCCAGTACTGAGCCCACCACACTTGACCTCTGCCCCAGTGCTGGGCACAGCTCATGTCTGATGCAGTGGTCAGCTTGCGCCCCGAGCCCTTGCCTGAGCCCTCGCTGGGTGGGCACAGCTCACAGCCCTGCAGCTCCTGAACATGAGGCAGTGGTCAGCCTGTGCCCCGAGCCCTTGCCTGAGCCCTCGCTGGGTGGGCTGCATCAGGCTTGCCTTCCCAGGAGGATTTGTTTCCTAAGGAAGATTTTCCCACTGGCTGTGAAGCCCCTTGGTGTCTCCCTACCCAACTTAACTTTCCGCATCTTCTGCCCCCAAGGACCGAAGGCCGTGGGAGTCCAGGGCCAGAGGAGGCAGAGCCAGAGGAGAGAGGCCCACGGACGCAGCCCCCCCAGATTCTCCTGCCCCTGGAAGAGCGAGTGACCCACTTCCGAGACATGCTCCTGGAGAGAGGGGTAAGGCGCAGGCGCGGTCAGCTGGTTCTCCGGCTGGGACTCCTCGCTCCTGTGAGTCGCATGGGGACCGAGGGACATGAGCCCTAGGAAGGACAGCAGTTTGCAGGTCGGGAAAGCTCAAGGGGTGGGCCCCTCGTGCCAGAGCGGGTCAGGCCCCTTGCCCGAACCTCAGAGGGTGATTGATGTCTCGCTAGCACGATGTCTTAACTGAGCTCTTTCTGGATAGCAGCATTTTGAATGAGTGAGGAGAGTGATATTTGAATCCACAAACTTTTATGCTTGCTTTGGCTCTGGGCATAAAATGAGCCAGAAACAGAATGTCAGCCCGCCTGGGTTTCTCACCCAGCGGTGGGGGTGGCACGTGTGTGCGGTCATTGCGATGAGCACGTCTAGGGGCCTGGTGGCTTCAGATGCAAGTCCTCAGCACACCTGCCACGGCAGGGAGCCAAGGCACCGCCCTCTGGCCCTGCGGGGTGACCCAAGACAGGACCTCATAAAGCCTGGGGCGGCCCTGCCTGACTGGGATGTGTGGCCTGCAACCCTGAGCTGAGGGCTGAGCCGTGGAGCCCTGAGACACACCCTGCGGGGGTGGAGGCGTGTTTGCTTGCTTGCTCCCTTAATTCAAAGATAGATTTAAAAAAAATTTTTTAAGCCAAAGTTGTTTTGAAATACAAGGCATAGAGATTTGATCACAACAGATGCTGGAGCAGGAATCCCTGTGTGTCACCCTCCCCAGCTGGTCACCCTCCCCCACCTGTGTCACCCTCCCCCACCTGTGTCACCCTCCCCCAGCTGTGTCACCCTCCCCCACCTGTGTGTCACCCTCCCCCACCTGTGTCACCCTCCCCCAGCTGTGTCACCCTCCCCCAGCTGTGTGTCACCCTCCCCCAGCTGTGTCACCCTCCCCCACCTGTGTCACCCTCCCCCGCCTGTGTCACCCTTCGCCAGCTGTGTGTCTCCCTCCCCCACCTGTATTACCCTCCCCCACCTGTGTCACCCTTCCCCACCTGTGTCACCCTCCCCCGCCTGTGTCACCCTTCGCCAGCTGTGTCACCCTCCCCCACCTGTGTCACCCTCCCCCACCTGTGTGTCTCCCTCCCCCCACCTGTATTACCCTCCCCCACCTGTGTCACCCTCCCCCACCTGTGTCACCCTCCCCCAGCTGGTCACCCTCCCCCACCTGTGTCTCCCTCCCCACCTGTGTCTCCCTCCCCCACCTGTGTCTCCCTCCCCCGCCTGTGTCACCCTCCCCCAGCTGTGTCACCCTCCCCCACTTGTGTCACCCTCCCCCACCTGTGTGTCACCCTCCCCACCTGTGTCTCCCTCCCCCAGCTGTGTCACCCTCCCCTGCCTGTGTCACCCTTCGCCAGCTGTGTCACCCTCCCCCACCTGTGTCACCCTTCGCCACCTGTGTCACCCTCCCCCACCTGTGTGTCCTCCACTGTGACCCCTCTTGCCCCAGAAGCAGAATGGTCATCAGCCCTAGCTCCCACTTCCCATCCCTCCCCCTTAGGACAGGACAGGCTGGTGGTCCCGTCCTGTAGTCGGATGTCAGGGACCCTTTTCCAGCCTGGGCCTGGCATCCTGCTCTCACACGAGGAGCTGTGTCACGGGGCGCTCCCGACGCCGAACCAGAGCTGGTGGGGAACAGTGGGGAAGGGGCTGGGGGACCGGCCAGGCCCTGTGCACCACACTCTTTGGCGCTGACCCACCTGGATGGTGTCTGGCTGATCGCCGGGGTCCCCCCTAATGGCTGTAGCTCAGGATTCCGGTGAGATTCTGTGGCCATGGCGGGAGGGGCCCATTCTAGCCTGTGATGCTGAGCGGGGCGTCAGCCGCCTGCAGGAGCCCGTGCAGCGCCCCTCTCCACCTGAGAGCCCAGAGCTCTGCTCTGTCGCACCAGGCTGTCCAGGCAAAGCCTGCGCCTGGCTCTGGGGCAGAAAAGTTCAACCCAGATTTATTGCTTCCATCATAAAGCGGTGGCGCCGTTTACGGCTCTGCGACTCGATAAAATATGCCGGCAGATTGCATAAGTTGCTCGGGCGCGTGAGAACTTGATAGCTCACCCCATAGGATTTCCAGCTGCTTGAAAACGAGGCGTGGAAAGGTCACTTTCGCATGGACAGGGTGATGGATATGGTTTTTATTGTGTTTATTCAGCAGTGCCGTGGAGAAACGTGTGCATGTGGCTTGAGAAGGCAGGCCATGGGGTCTCCCCGGCTTGGCAAGGGTGGACGTAGCCAATTCCAGGAGGGTCGGGGTGGGGCGGGACCCGAGTCTGTGCTTGGCAGCTTGTGACAGATGGCTACGTGGAAGGATTGCCCGGGGGATGGGTCTGTCCTGGCGTGGGTGTCACACTGACCCCCAGGGCCTGTCACACTGGCCTTTTCTCTCCCGGTGGTCTCATGGAGACAGGCTCCACGTGTGCCTCGCCCAGGGCCACATGCACCCAGCCCATCCTCCTAGGCACCTGTGGGAGCTGAGTGGTCCCTGTTCTGTTGGCAGTTCCTGGCTGCTGGGAGGCCCTGCTAGCCTCATGGTCACTCGATCTCTCCCCCAGCTCGTGTTAGACCCCGCAACACAGCTGCTTGTTGCTCGGTGCTTCCCGGTGCTCAGCGAGCTCTACGGTGGCTGAGGCACCTTGCTCTCAGACCATCCTACACTGGAGTGGCCCAGGGTGTGGTCCGACGCTGTCCTGTGCTTGGAGGACCCAGGGTATCCGGCACGGCTGGGTGCCTGGCATGTCTGTGCTGGGGGCCAAGGCCGGCGGGGGTGGTGGCCAGAGCAGTCCTAGTGACTGAGCAAGCAAAGGAGACCAAGTGTGAACCAGCAGGCACAGGCCAATCTGCCAGAAATGCTGGCTGGAGAACAAATGGGCACGGGCAGCAGACAGCACCTGTCAGGGTCCCTGGTCACTTCCATAGCCACCGCTGCAGTGACAGAGCCCAGCTCCCAAGTGTGGGTCACACACAGGACCTCCGAAGGTGCTTGTCGGAGGGGACAGACTCATGAGAGTGAACGCGCCGTCCAGCCCCAGCAGGTGGCCAGGGCACCGCCCGGGATGGGTCAGGTGACAGCATGCAGCCTTGACGTGGAGTGACTGAGTGGCGTTTTCCCTGTGGCACCCTCTCACACCCCTCCCCCTAGCCTATGCTGAGGAAACCTGAAAACCCTGAAGAGAATCGTTCTGTAGTCTATGCGCTGTAGCAGGGAGCCCACCAGGGCAGCAGGTGGCTGTGGCACAGTGAAACCATGCCAGTGGGAAGGAAAGAACGTGCCCAGGATGCAGGCGGTGCTGGTGGCCTTGGCATCTGTCTCACACGCTGGCTGGCGTGAGGTCTTAGCCGTGGAGGCCGCTGGGTAATGGCAGCCATCTCTGTGGCCCTTCTGTGAATCCCAATGTGTTGTGAAGCCAGGAGCTCATCTTGGAGCTGTTACCTGAGAAAGGCCGCACACAGCGCATGGTGAGCCACCTGCTCACCAGGCCCCTTTCTCGGCGCAGCCTGTGGGGTCCTGCAAACTTGGGCAGCTTCTGCTCGAGGCCCGCTGTGCTGTGCAGTGTAGAACTCCCCTGGCCACAGGTAGGGTCAGCTGCAAGTCCGGGAATGGCCCTGGAAAGTGCCTAAGGAAGCAGCAGAGTGGACACAGTGTTTCTAATGTGCCAGGCATTGATTTCCTTGCAAAGTCCCACGGCTCTGACACCTGTGCTCATGCTGCCTGCCCGGGCCCGTGTCCCTTAATGCTGCTTCCTTTGCCATTGATCATGGGCGGCTCCACGTAGGACGCTAAGCGCAGCTCTATTGAATATCTGTCCTCAGGTGTCAGCGTTTTCCACTTGGGAGAAAGAATTACACAAAATTGTGTTTGACCCGCGCTATCTCCTGCTGAACTCGGAGGAGCGGAAACAGGTAACGTGGCAGCAAGCAGGGGGCAGGACGGGGCAGGGGGCAGGACGGGGCTGGGGGCAGGACGGGGCTGGGGGCAGGACGGGGCAGGGGGCAGGCATTGGCGTTGCAGCAAGCAGGGGGCAGGACGGAGCTGGGGGCAGGCGTTGGCGTTGCAGTAAGCAGCGGGCAGGACGGAGCTGGGGGCAGGCGTTGGCGTTGCAGCAAGCAGGGGCAGGAGGCAGGACGGGACACGGGGCAGGACAGGGCAGGGGGCAGTCATTGGCGTTGCAGCAAGCAGTGGGCAGGACGGGGCAGGGGGCAGGACGGGGCAGGCATTGGCGTTGCAGCAAGCAGGGGGCAGGACGGGGCTGGGGGCAGGCGTTGATGTAAATATAGATGGACAGGTACTTGCAGAATGGGAGGGCTAAGAAGTGGGAAGCAAGGGCCACTGTCTTCTCCTCATTGGACAAAGATCATCCTCACAGCTGAAATGCAAATGTGGGGCCAACAGTTCCCTGACAAGCGAGGGCAGGTCACACAGCAGAGCCCTGCAGCGCTCCAGGTCCTGGGAAGGGACAGTGACCCAGGAGGGGCCCCAGAAGCAGGGCCTGCAGGTGGAGGTTGAGGGCTGTGATCCCCAGTGGGGAGGACTGGGCCAGCCATGGCTGCCTGGTGCCTGTCGTGCAAAGGGACTTGCCCAAGGCTTGCTGGGGCTCCCGTGGTTTCCTGGGTGACAGGTGGCCAGCAGGACAGGCTTTGCTGATGGCCTCCAGGAGAGCCGTGGCGTGGCGGCCTCGTCTTGCACAGCCTGGGGTCTGAGGAGTCCTCCGCCTCAAGACCCCGAGGTGAGCCCTGGAAGGTCAGGCAGACGCCTCTGATTCTCCACCTCCCGCTCCTCCCACGACGGGTGGGAGGCCCTGTCTGCACCCCCTTGGCCCTGGGACTTTGGGAGTAACACATGTGGCAGGCATGTCGCCAGGGGCAGCCCCTGGGAACAGAAGAGCTGCCCAGCATGTCACAGGGAGGGTCCACGGCACGTGGCCTGGCACCTGCGGAGTTGGATCTGGCCTTTAATGAGGGCATGGGGATCGGGGTCTTGGCAACTACGTCACCGGCTTGTGAGGTCACATCGGTGAGGCCGGGGATGGGGCGCTCGGAGGAGTACAGGCTGTGTTAGCGTGGGAGCACTCCCTCCCAGCCCTGGCGCCGGGACCGCGAGCGTGGTGGTGTGGGGCTGCGCGTGGCCCCGTTCGGGGCAGGGCCTGGATGTGATGGCCTTTCCGTGGGTTTAGTTTTCCGGAAATAGCTACTTTAAAACCCATGCAGCACGCCCACGGGGGGCGTGAGGGTGCTGAGCAGGCTGGATGTGGGCTTGCAGCATTGCTGCCTCACTCCTGTGCTGTAATGTCAAACAGCAGAGGCTGAGCTCGGCCCCTGTCACTGGGCCCTGTTGTGGGGCAGAGCCCGGCTCCGAGGTTCGGAACGCCAAGAGGCCGACGTGTAAAGCCAGCTTTGCTAGTTGGCGCAGGCGGCCAGTAGTCACCTGCTGAGCTGAGTCAGGACAGCCTCAGGATTCCAGTTGCTTTAGGAGAAGTTGAGAAGTAGGACCGCTTCCCCAGAAGAAGCCCAGCGTGGCTGCCAGTCTCCGGCCAACTGCACGCCTGGCCTCACATGCTCGCGGGGCAGGGCGGGCTCCTCCTCGGGTATCTGGGCCGCGTGCCAGGCCAGCAGCCTGGTGGGGCTGTCCCCTGCCCCACCGGCCCAGGTGTGTCCCGCACTGGTAGGGCACCCTGCAGCATGAGCACCTCTGGGTGCTCCAGCACATCCCCAGGGTAGCGGGGCCCCGGGGAGAGGAGGAGGCAGGCTGTGTGGCAGCTGAGTGACTCAGGTCACAGCCTGAGACCTCAGAGACAGGAGCCTTGCCATGGTGGGCAGGAGTGGTTCTGAGCTGAGCTGAACAATGTGTGCGAACATGGCCGATTGGCAAGCGACAGGGGACTCTGCACAGGCACTGCTGCCCGTCGCTCCTCCCCCCAGAGCCCTGGCGGGCAAGGCCCAGGTGTGTCCCGGGGACCTTACAACCTACCCTCTCCGGGGACAGGAGAGAGCTGGGCAGAGGCTGGCCCAGGCAGCACTGCGCCAGCCTGTTTCCATGGTGACAGACGTGTTATGTTTTATTAAGTTGCTAACGAGATAATGACCAATGAGCTCTCTTTAAAAGTCATGCCCCTCTTTGGTTAAAACTAGAATAATTGGTTGCAGAAAGGGGGAGAAGGCAGCTGCTGAATGAGGTTGCAGCAGTGAGTCAAGTCACTGGGACAAGAGGAAAGAGAGAAATTGGCTGAGACGGCCAGTTCCGGGCACGGGGAGGAGCAGACACCATGCGAGCTCAGAGCTGGAGCCACAGACCTGCGTCCAGGGCCAGAATGCGCAGAGCGGACCTGGCTCCTGCTCGGGCCGCACGTGCGTCTTGGGTGGTGACCCTGTGTTCAGCTTCTCTGACAGTACAACCCGTAACGCAACAGGGGAACCAACCCACCTGCTTGCCTCGACGGGGGAGGAAGGGGGAACGGGCCAGGGCAAACCTCCCCGAAACAGACTGGCACACGCTCTGAGTCACTGCTTCCTTTGGTTGAAGGAGCCGAAGAGCCTCTTGTGTTTGTGATCCGGCACAGCTTGCCGTGGTCCCGGTAGAGTCTGAAACAAGACCAAGTCTGGGGGAGGCCACTGGTGAGCGGCCCAGGGCCCCCGGCAGCTGTCCAGGGCTGCACCTGCCTGCAGGGACCCTGGGGACTAGGGGACCACCCAGCCACGACCCAGGGCCCCGGCAGCTGTCCAGGGCTGCACCTGCCTGCAGGGACCCTGGGGACTAGGGGACCGCCCAGCCACCACCCAGGGCCCCGGCAGCTGTCCAGGGCTGCACCTGCCTGCAGGGACCCTGGGGACTAGGGGACCGCCCAGCCACCACCCAGGGCCCCGGCAGCTGTCCAGGGCTGCACCTGCCTGCAGGGACCCTGGGGACTAGGGGACCGCCCAGCCACCACCCAGGGCCCCGGCAGCTGTCCAGGGCTGCACCTGCCTGCAGGGACCCTGGGGACTAGGGGACCGCCCAGCCACGACCCACGGCCCCGGCAGCTGTCCAGGGCTGCACCTGCCTGCAGGGACCCTGGGGACTAGGGGACCGCCCAGCCACCACCCAGGGCCCCGGCAGCTGTCCAGGGCTGCACCTGCCTGCAGGGACTCTGGGGACTAGGGGACTGCCCAGCCACGACCCACATGGCAGAACTTGCAGCGAGTGTGGGCTGTCGCTGGGAGCTTTGTGTACGCCTCAGCACTCGCGTGGTGGAGAGTGGGTCAGCCAGGATGGTGAGCCACTGCCAGCAACCACATGGACCTGCCCCAGCCATGCCATAGCATCCCGGGATGCCCAGTAAAGAATGGGACTTCTTGCTGGGGACAGGATTCCAAACAAGGTGGCCCCTGTGCTAAGGTGTTCCATGAGGAGGGTCTGTGTGCCAAGAGCCCTGATGCCTTGACAGGGGCCGTTCATGCCCACCACCCAAGCCCTTCCAGGCAGAGCGTTAGCCATGGGAAGTGCTGGCTGCTTTTCACAGCTCTCCCGTCTGGAGACCTGGATGACCGTGGCTGGTGTGCCCCGGGCTGTGAGGGGTGGAGGACCATGTCCCTGCAAGGAGCTGGCATGGAGAGCTGCCAGCAGATGGGACTTCTCCGACAAGCCTGGTTCCCGATGTGGGTGTTTGGACGACTCCTCGTTCTTCCAGGAGCTCCGGCTGGGGGCAGGGCATGTTAGCAGCCAGAGGGAAGTGCTCGCCTCAGATTGGGGCTGGTTTTATATGCTGCTGTGTGTGGAACCCTGACAGAGCTTGGGAATATTCCTCTGTGTGTCTGTGTGCTTTAAGATTTTTGAACAGTTTGTCAAGACAAGAATAAAAGAAGAATACAAGGAACGAAAGAGTAAATTGCTGCTAGCTAGAGAAGAATTCAAGAAACTTCTAGAAGAATCGAAAGTGTCACCGAGGTATGGGGCCAATCAGGTTGGGAGGTGTTGGGGGTGGAAGTTCAGCAGGTACCAGGGAATGTAGGTGTGCTGGCAGCCATGCCCCTGGTGTCTGCAGACGGAGAGGGTGGGACCCTGTAGGTGTGCTGACAGCCATGCCCCTGGTGTCTGCAGACAGGGGGTGTGGGACCCTGTAGGTGTGCTGGCAGCCATGCCCCTGGTGTCTGCAGACAGGGGGTGTGGGACCCTGTAGGTGTGCTGGCAGCCATGCCCCTGGTGTCTGCAGACAGGGGGTGTGGGACCCTGTAGGTGTGCTGGCAGCCATGTCCTTGGTGTCTGCAGACAGGGGGTGTGGGACCCTGTAGGTGTGCTGGCAGCCATGCCCCTGGTGTCTGCAGACAGAGAGGGTGGGACCCTGTAGGTGTGCTGACAGCCATGCCCCTGGTGTCTGCAGACAGAGAGGGTGGGACCCTGTAGGTGTGCTGACAGCTATGTCCTTGGTGTCTGCAGACGGAGAGGGTGGGACCCTGTAGGTGTGCTGGCAGCCATGCCCCTGGTGTCTGCAGACAGGGGGTGTGGGACCCTGTAGGTGTGCTGGCAGCCATGCCCCTGGTGTCTGCAGACAGGGGGTGTGGGACCCTGTAGGTGTGCTGGCAGCCATGCCCCTGGTGTCTGCAGACAGGGGGTGTGGGATCCTGCAGGTGCTGAGTTGGGCAGTTTCCTTTTTCTGTATCCACGATGCCATGTGGGCTCTGGGCCCATCTGGCCGTCCTTCTCTGAATGTGTTAGAAAGCTGAGGGGGAGGGGAGTTTAGAATGCGGCAGGAGGGAGTGAGGGGCGAGCCCAGGAGGGAGTGCGACAGCCCCCGCCCTGCCCCGTCCCCTGTGTGGAGACAGGTGGTGTATGAGTCCGTGGGAGGCGACAGCATGACGTGAGGTGCACACAGCCGTGACAGCCATGGGGGCAGCAAGTGGGTGCATTAAAAACACCTGGTGCACATCTGTCATGGCTGCCCGTCCTGCAGGGCAGGCTCTGCTGAGGCTCCTCTTGGCCTCAGCGCCCTGTCCAGGGCTGTTGGGCACGTGCCTCGGGCTCTCTTGAGAAGCTGTGGAAAGTTTCACTACAAGAGCTGTCTGGGGCGGGGGTCTCTGGGACAGCCAAGGACCACAGCTGCTCTGGGTCTTGGCGACCGGGGACCTCCCTGGGAGCTGCCAGTGCAGGCTCTGTGGGTAACCCTGCAGCTGCAGCCTGGCTGGTGTGCGTGTGACTGGAGAAGAGTGAGCTGCTGGGGACTCAGGTGACTGCCAGAGCTGGTAGGATGCGGCGCCATCCCTTGCGGGACCTCAGAGCCGGTGGTGGCCGGTGTGGGACTTGCCATCCTCCTGTGGGAGCTGCCGCTCTGTAAATGCACAGAGGGGCCTGGTGGGAGCCACTGCCCCCAGACCGCGTACAGCTCCTCGCAGACAGGAGCATGGAAGCCCAGGGCCCAGGTGACTGACCCCTAAACCATGAAGCACGGTCACGCGTGGGCTGGCCACGTGACAGCACGGTCACTCAGGGCTGCCTCTTGGAGACACACGTGGACACGTGCCCGCAAGCTGCTGCCCGGGAGAGGCCAAGTTCATTGTTTAGTGGTGTCAATGAGACAGCTCCTGATAATTATTTGTCCTGTCTAACAGCTGTGTCAGAGTAATCCTGTTATTCGTGGATAAGAAAGCTATTGAGTTATAACAATTTAATGCAAGAATTAAATGTTTGCGGAAAAGCAGAGAACTCTCAGAAAAGGCCTGCTGCGTGCTGCGTGTACCCCGGGCACCTGCTCGGCTGTCAGGACCCAGCTGTGAGGCCCCCAAGAAGCCTACCTGTGCCCAGGCCAAGGGGTGTCTGCTCAGCCAGCTGCCCGGCCTGAGCCGCTGGGCCCTGGTGCTGTCCCTGGCTTCAGGGTCCAGCCCAGGGGCCAGGACATCCCAGGACACAGTGTGGGGCAGGCACACTCAGACACCTCAGTCACCCTGTGTCTGGGGGCTTCCACTCACAGCTGTCGCAGGCCATCCTGGTGGTGGACGGAATGGCAGGTGGACAGTGGTGTTGGTTGGTGAGGGGCAGCGGCGGGTGGAATTGCAGCAAGGGTGGGGGGCACCACACTTGCCCTGGGAGCCATGAGGGGACACAGCTTCAAGTGACCCCCTAGAAGGTGACATTGGTCCCCACTGTGTCTTGCTTCTCCTATGGAGTTTTCTGCATGTCTATTGGAATGGCAGAGAGAGCGCCTGGCCTCTGATTCACCACCTCGTGTCTTCAGTGGCTCCTATGTGCGTGGCAGGAAGCCAGGCCCATGAGCTGCCACCTGCTGTCGCCCAGGGTGTGTGTGAGTAGGGAGCTGGACTTCACCTGACCGGAGTGTGAGCACCCTGACTGTCAGCATAACCCTTAGGCCAAATGACAAGGAGTGACCACTGGGGAGAGGCCGCCCCAGGCCACAGGGCAGCGTGCTAAGAGCCTGGTGGCTGCAGTGGTAACCGGGACGTGTGGCAGCGGTCAGCCTGATGAGACCAGGTGGCTGACAGGCACCTGCTGAGGCAGTCAGTGTAGAGGTTAAGGGGCACCTGCAGGCGAAGCGGCCAGGACCTGAGCTGCAGGGCAGGGAGTGGGTGTCCCGGCCCCAGTCAGCAGCTGGCCTGCATGTCTCTGAGAGGGAGCAGGGCACAGCCCCAGGACCCCTCTCAGTGGGTCTCTGCCCCCCAGGACCACCTTCAAGGAGTTCGCCGAGAAGCATGGCCGGGACCAGAGGTTCCGCCTTGTGCAGAAGAGGAAGGACCAGGAGCACTTCTTCAACCAGTTCATCCTCATCCTTAAGAAACGGGACAAGGAGAACAGATTGAGGCTGCGGAAGATGAGATGAAGTCTGTACCGGGAAGACGTGGGACAGTGCGTGCCAGGGGACAGTGCGTGCCAGGGGACAGTGCGTGCCAGGGGACAGTGCGTGCCAGGGGACAGTGCGTGCCAGAGGACAGTGCGTGCCAGGGGACAGTGCGTGCCAGAGGCAGCGGGGGACGGCTGGCAGGGGCTCTGGGCGCACAGGGAGCGGGAGACGGCTGGCGGGGGCTCTGGGCGCACTGGGGCTCCACTGGCAGGGGGCTCTGGGCGCACTGCGGCTCCACTGGCAGGGGCTCTGGGCGCACTGCGGCTCCACTGGCAGGGGCTCTGGGTGCACAGGGGCTCCACTGGCAGGGGCTCTGGGCGCACTGTGGCTCCACTGGCAGGGAAGACGTGGGACAGTGCGTGCCAGAGGCAGCGGGAGACGGCTGGCAGGGGCTCTGGGCGCACTGGGGCTCCACTGGCAGGGGGCTCTGGGCGCACAGGGAGCGGGAGACGGCTGGCAGGGGCTCTGGGCGCACTGCGGCTCCACTGGCAGGGGCTCTGGGCACACTGCGGCTCCACTGGCAGGGGCTCTGGGCGCACTGCGGCTCCACTGGCAGGGAAGACGTGGGACAGTGCGTGCCAGAGGCAGCGGGAGACGGCTGGCAGGGGCTCTGGGCGCACTGCAGCTCCACTGGCAGGGGGCTCTGGGCGCACTGCAGCTCCACTGGCAGGGGGCTCTGGGCGCACTGCGGCTCCACTGGCAGGGGCTCTGGGCGCACAGGGGCTCCACTGGCAGGGGGCTCTGGGCGCACAGGGGCTCCACTGGCAGGGGGCTCTGGGCGCACAGGGGCTCCACTGGCAGGGGGCTCTGGGTGCACTGCGGCTCCACTGGCAGGGGGCTCTGGGCGCACTGGGGCTCCACTGGCAGGGGCTCTGGGCGCACTGCGGCTCCACTGGCAGGGGGCTCTGGGCGCACAGGGGCTCCACTGGCAGGGGGCTCTGGGCGCACTGCAGCTCCACTGGCAGGGGGCTCTGGGCGCACTGCGGCTCCACTGGCAGGGGCTCTGGGCGCACTGCGGCTCCACTGGCAGGGGGCTCTGGGTGCACTGCAGCTCCACTGGCAGGGGCTCTGGGCGCACAGGGGCTCCACTGGCAGGGGGCTCTGGGTGCACAGGGGCTCCACTGGCAGGGGCTCTGGGCGCACTGCGGCTCCACTGGCAGGGGCTCTGGGCGCACAGGGGCTCCACTGGCAGGGGGCTCTGGGCGCACTGCAGCTCCACTGGCAGGGGCTCTGGGCGCACTGGGGCTCCACTGGCAGGCATACTGGGTGCACTGGGGGCTCAGCCAGCAGGGGGCTCTGGGTGCACTGGGGCTCAGCCAGCGGGGGCTCTGGGTGCATTAGGGCTCCACTGGCAGGGGGCACACTGAGCACACTGGGGGCTCCACTGGCGGGGGCTCTGGGCGCACTGGGGTCTCAGCCTCAGGGCATCAGTGTTTCATATTGAAGCTCTCTTTTTTGTACAATGTCCAGAGTTTGATGCAGTCTGAATCTCTATGACACACCCATCTCCTAATTGTTTTAATTATGCAAACTGCTTGTAATCTACACGGACAACAGATCCACTGCAGATTCGGGACTGAGCAGAGACAAGGAGCACCGATACCAGTCTCCAGGCGTTCTGTCGCTTGAGGTCACCCTGACACCTGACACCTTCCTGGGTTCCTCACATCTGCCGGGTTCCGTGCTGGTACTGCCGTCTTCCTGGGTGTTCATCTTGTCTTATGTTCTGAGCAGTAGCAATAGGGACAGTCATCACTCACCCACGTGACAGCTTGGACATGGACACGGGGGCCATGGGTCACTGACAGGTGAACTCACCCTTATGACAGCCGTGGACATGGACACAGAGACTGTGGGTGACCAGTGGGGTACTGGTGAGGGGTGGGGTACTGTGGGGGATTCAGTGGGGTGCTGTCCCCCCACTGAATGTTTCCCGCCTGGCAGGGAAGCCACACTGACCCTAAGGGATTTTGTACAACATGTTTGTGTTAAATTTGAGTTATTTTTATTGTATGCCCAGAGTTTGCATGAGATTTTTCTCATCATCTTTGTATAAAAAAATTTAGATTTTTTTTAAATTAATAAATATTTTAAACCAGTGTTCTGTGGGTGACACAGTAGAATCGGACTTCAGGGGGGACACGGCTGTGGACACTCCGGGATCTCGCTGCCCTACCTGCATGAGCAGGGCAACCCGTGCAACCAGGAATGGGAGGTGAGTCTGTGTCAGAGCCACCCTGGAGTCTACACACAGTTTTCCTTGCTGCCTTGAAGAGTCTTGTAGATCCCAGGAAAACCTGGTTAGCTTTCACCCCCACTTCTGTGGTGACCCCAAGACTCCCATGCGGTACCCCTGTCCCCAGATTGTGCCTCAACAGGGCTTCGGTGTCAGGAGGCAACTGCTCTTCACTGGCCACACCCTGAGCTTGACACCTGTTCTTCAGGGTCTGCCCAGAGCCCCAGCCACAGCCCTGCAGAGTGGGGCAGCTGGGGTGGCTGCAGGTGGCATATTGGGAAGGCAAGAGCCGGGATGGAGACATCGGGGGCCCTGTCAGGAGATGGGATCCCCCGGAATGTCATGGGGTTTCCTGGCAGTAAGAGTCCCTTGGCTGGGCAGTGGGGCAATGGTGAGGGGCACAGGAAGACAGGAGGGAGGGGTAGGGCATGTTGTGGTGCCGTGCTGGTGGCAAAACACATTGGAAACCCACTTGCAGGATGCCAGGAAGTCACTCCTGGGTGGGTGTCTGCCCAAGACCACCAAGGAGGGAGATTGGGGCAAGGCTGCTGGACACGTGCATGGGTGATATACTCCAGTATGAATTCTCGTGCTGCCACGGCCTCAGGGGCTAGGGCACCACAAAGGGTCCAGCAGACACTGTACAGTGGTTGGTGCCCAGGGGGCAGCCATGTGTGAGGAAGCCCAGGCCCCAGTGGGTTATTCCATGCCCTGTTCCCACCCTGGCCCTGAGTCCCAGGCGAGGGCTCCTGAGTGTGTCAGAGTGTGGGTCCCATGACTGCGGTTGCCAACCCTGGCTGGCACATGGTACAGGACCTGACAGTGCCCACCCAGGCCTGCCTGTGTCAGAGGCTGGCACATGGTACGGGACCTGACAGTGCCCACCCAGGCCTGCCTGTGTCAGAGGCTGGCACATGGTACGGGACCTGACAGTGCCCATCCAGGCCTGCCCGTGTCAGCTGGAGCTCACACCATGTTCCTCTGGGGACAGTGGCCAGGCTGTTAGGGGACAGTAGCTCAACTGTGCCCTGACCCTGGGCAGGAGAGGAGGGCCTGGGCTGGAAGTCCTCCCTGCCAGTGCCTTGGAGCCCACAGGTCAGCCACACGTTGCGGGCCTTGGTGGAGGCATGGGTCTCCAGGGAGCTCGCCAGCCTTGGTCCAGCTGTATGTCCCATGCTGGCTTCTTGTCGTTCACACAGACCCAGGAGGCACAGCTGCGGCTCAGGGGTTAGGGTCTCCGCTTTCGCATGGGGGCCTGGTTGAATTTGGGCTCCTGGATTCAGTGGGAACCCAGAGATGTGACCCTTGCACCTGGTCTCCAGGCCCCTTGCAGTGCAGTGTCCTGGGGTTCCTCTCCTGACAGGTGACCAGGGGTGGGGGGCTGTGTTAGGCCACGGCGGAAGTACTGACTTTCCAATAGTCCGGAATGTTTGCTAACGGCCAGGGGTCAGGAAGGGCCCTACCCTAGGCTCTGGGGGGAGATGGGCCCCCAAGTCCCTCTCGCTTGCTGGTCCTGCTCAGCCACTGCTGCCCCTTCGGCTTTGCCCAGCAGGACCCAGGCCCGCTGCGGGAGTCCATGGTGCAGGCTGCAGGTGTCTCTACTCACTCCCAGTTTTGGTGGCTGCAGCAGCCCCTGCTGAGCCAGCGCCTCTGCACCCTGCGCACCCTGCGCTGCTTCCGGCGTTTCTGTTCTGCTCTGGTAGTGCGCGCGCGCGCGCGTGTGTGTGTGTGTGTGTGTGTGTGTGTGTGTGTGTGTGTGAGCTCTGTCATGTTTCCCCAGAGGAGGTCCTCCCGGAGGGGGAAGGTTCCTGGCCAAGGCTGCGTTGGATGTGCTCACATTCTCCCCTCCTACACCTACACCCAGCCCAGCCAGCTGCCTGCCCCAGGGCTGGGAGAGGAGGGGCGGCTGGGAGGGCCTTGGGGCAGCTGCAGTGGGAGACAACGCCTGATGGCACTGCTGCTGGACTCAGTGTCCAGGGGGCAGCAAGCAGAGGGTGGGGCTGAGCCTGTGCGTGAGTGTGCGTATGCACACGTGTGTACAAGCATGGCATCTACGCCATGTGCATGAATGTGTGTGTACACTAGCATGCAGTGCACGTGTGGGACGTGTGCTGTAAGCCATGTGGCACTCCCTAGCTGTCCTCCCTTCCTCTTTCCTGCTCCTGCCTTCTGTCCAGGGAAACCCTTGCCCTGAGAGACTGGACCTGGAGCCAGGCCGCGTGTCCTCTGCACACCTCGTCCTGAGCCATCCCTTGTCACCTGGACGTGGCCCTGGGTGGCAGAGCCCTTCTTGAGCCCATGGAGTCAGGCTGGCCGTCCTTGACTCATTTCCACGAGCCCTGGGGACAGCTCTCTCTGTCTCAGCCCTCGGCTGTGCACGCGGGCGTCCTGCAGTTCTTGGCACTGAGTCACCTGCTGGCAGAGTGTGCCAGGGAGTGAATCATTTTTACAACTGTGCCTGTGGCCTCCACTTCCTGGACGTTCTGTGCTCATGCCCACGTGGCCGACTCCTGCCATGGAACGCTCCCTGGAGATAGACGGGCCCTTGCCTGCTCTCGGGTTGTCTGTCCTCAGAGGGGGGCTGGGGTGTCCTGGCCACGCCCCGGGCTCAGGCAGCCCCCATCTCCGGGCCTGTGTCCCGTCCCAGCAGAGCAGGCTGCAGGTCCCTCTGCACACCATGTGCTGGCGGTTCAGGGTCGGGGAATGCTCCACTATAGCTCATGTTAACTGCCACTAAATTCTG